GGGGCGACATTGTTCTCGGTGTGACACACCCGTCCAATTGTCCTCAACGGAAGAAACGGGAAGAAACACGACATTCGCAGTTAAGATTCTTGCGACAATAAAATCTCGCGTTACGCGAGACTGACGGTTTATCAAAAAATATTATTGATCGATCGCACAAAGTAGCATCCTCGCGTGAATTACAAAGAAGAGCACGACAGTTTTTATCGGGATATCTTTTCCGTGCAGACAAAACGGGGGTCTAAGCTCAGGCCGCAAGAAGAATTTGTCGCGTTCGCATATTAACGTAACATCAAGTAATGCTAGAACGAGATCATTATCGTAATGCCAATTGCACGAATGTAACTAAAAGGCAGAACGCGAGACATGTGCGAAAAGGTGAACAAACGTCGGACCGAAGCGAACGAGTGAAAGCAACTGGATTTATAGTGAGGAAGAGAAAACGCGGACCCATGAGTTTAATTACTCTATTCTTATACGGTTTTATTATTTACGTCTAATTATCTGTAATAAATCTTGGCGGATGAATTCTGTTGAATGAGTCATCGTCGTACATTTTTTTTATCGTACATCTGATGCTAAACGCAAATTGTTTGACTAGTAATTTTTATCACAAGAATATGAATAGATCGTTACACCTATCTAAATGTATACTGACGATACAAAAATATTTGCACTTCACCATCGCGGAAAGTAGCAATAAGAACAAAGTATTTAACACAAAAGTAAATCTTCGCCTAAATCTTAGATTCTTATTTTGTAAATCCTTCAAAAGGTCCGCATCTTCCACTATAAATCCCGTTCGAGGACTAATAAATCGGGGATAAACAATCGTCGAGCAAGTCGGCATTCCCGTTGAAACGTTCGTTTTGCGCCGTGCACCGTTGCACGCCAAATCCAGGCGTTTAGTCAATTTATATACCATGAATGACTTTTTCCCTCCTTAGTCATCCCCGGGATGAGAGGAGTACCACGGTAATGCGATAAGATCGTTTCTCCAGAAACCGCACGGCGAGCGGCTTATACGATATGTATTATTATATCAATACTTCTCTCACAATCCGAGAAAAAGTCCGCTCGCGTTCGGCTGTGACCGCGCGAGCCCTTTGAAGAAATAAAAAAAAAAAAAAACGCTGCTTCATCCGCGTTCATCTTTTCCCAAAGAGCAGCTCGTTGTAAAGTTTCCATTCGTGTTTTTAGTCGATAGGCTTGTAAGATTTACTTAAGGAGGCGCAATTCACCCAGGCCTAAGTCTGTCGAAGTAAAGCAAAGGCGATAATCGCATTTATCCGCTCTCTTTATTATTGTGCGCGGGTTCTCGAGGGAACCCAAGGGAGACCTTTGTTCCTCTTCCTCCCAGATCCTTCGACTGTACAAATACATAAAATCGCGAGAAAAAAAAAAAAATTTCCCCGTCTCTCTCCCACACGCCGGCCGAAGTGATTAAAAAAAAAAAAAAAAAAAAAAAAAACCGCAAGATTTGTATGACATAAAATTTTCCGCGCGCAGAAATGTCATCCTATCTTCCGCGAAAGCGACAGGAGATAAACGCGATGGCCAGAAATCGAGGTGTACTTCGGCAGAATAATAAAGTGAACTCTGTGAATTAATTGTGTAATAAAGCTATCCTACGGTACTGTGCATTCACACTCATAAAAAGAAAAAGAAAATGAACATACACCCGATACCTATATATATACATATATGTATATGTATACATGTATACATATGGATAAATATATATATATGTATATATTTGTCACACTTGCGCGATAAATATATACATATATATGTGTGTTGTTGAGACTCTATTGAAAGTATGATAATATATTATAAATATTATAATGAGAATATAATGACGCAAGCATTAAGATAAAACTATTGAAAAAATTATTAATGTAATTGGGAGAATGTAATAATAAAAAAGTCGTAAGAAATAAAATAAAATAAAATATTACCTCTTATAAGCTAATGTTTCTTCTACCTTATGCATGTTGTTTTCAACAAAATTATCTAATTATAAAATACCGTCCTAATAAAATATTTTAAATAAAGATATTTACGGGAAAAAAGATATAAAAATTTTATAATACTTCGATCAAATCGTTTACATATAAATGTAGACATAAATATCTCTAATAATTCAATATCTTATTGTATATATTAAAATAAATTTTTATTATATACGTATCATTTGTATCAATATTTACAGATCTCAAAAAATGTATGTACATTACTTAACATTTCAATCTCATACATTCCACTTGAGTTGAAATTCATACTTATTTTTATGAGATTACGATTATTGTTATCGCTGATTACCCCAAGTAGAGTATTTACCAGTATTTGATAACAAAAAAGATCGCCGCATATAGAAAATCATTGATCGAAATTACTTGGTCGAGTAGAGGATGGAAGCTACTGAGTTGGCATTATGAAGAAAATCAAATGACGCTCGCGCGCGCGCTATAATCAGTCAAGCTTAATAGAGCAAGATCATACGAAATATCATGATTCAAGTATAAAAGCGTTGACATACTTAGCCCTTTGAGTATCGTGGGCGCATATACATGCAACGCATTTCTTTTCTCTAATTTATCCATGAAATATTAATAATAATTTATTCATAAATAATTTATGTACAAATAAATTTATGTAAATATGTATAAATAAATAATACCATAAGTTTAAGACAAATATTTTAATCCAATTATGTGTTGTGTAATTTCTTGATACTTAAATTCGATGCGAAAAAAAGGCCGTATTTGGTACCAGCTGAGTTCCGGCCACGCAGAACATTCGACACTATTCCGTACTCAAAGGGTTAAGTGATATACTAAATACATAAGATAATGTTTCCACGATTAATTTCTATCATATATACAAGGAATTTACTTCATCAATCCGTTAATTTCGTGGCGAGTATTTCGAGTTACAGATTAAAGTACGTATATAACAGCATTCTCTTTTAATGTAACTCATCGTATACTCAAACTATAATTTTTTAAACTATAATTTTTTATAAACTATAATTTTTTCGTTCATTCACTTACGTTATAGAGGAAGGGAGTAGAGCATTTAAACTATCTTAGATATTACGTTTTTTTGAGTTGACTTAAATACGTTCCGGGCTCTTAAAAATAAATATAACGCTAGCGAGTTTTGTAATTAATAACGTACTCGTACCGTCAAGATTCATGTCTTAAAATCACCTTTAAATCATCCGGCAATACGTGCGTAATGTCATTTATTCTCTCTCGCAGTTTCTCTCTTACCGAATTATCGATTGGTACGTCATCAATGCAGCTTTTCTCCAACTTCTGGCGAATTCTAAGAATCATATCGACTACTTCCACCTCTTGCTTCCCTTGTACCCACGTTTTTAAATCCTGTCCATGATTATTATATTGATAAGAATTTATAATAAAATTATGAAAAAATGTAAAAGAAAAAATTAATATTCATACCGCCTGCGATAATTTCTCTAACTGTTTAACTTGCAACTGCTGACTCAACTCCATATATCTTGTGTGAAACCATCCGGAAAAGTTCGGTGATCGAAAGAATCGTTTATAGAGTCCTACCCAATCGCCTTTTATACCTGTAGTTAATTGAGGACCGGAGCTGCTTAAACTAGCTAGGAAGTCATCTGGATTGAACATTTGTGGTGTAGGAGTTGCCTGAAAAAAATCATTGTCATCAATTACATAAACTGACTCTATAATCATTAATCCCTAATAATTGATTACCTTAAAAGGTGATATGTTCTTTTGTAGTGGCATAAGGGTCGCGATGTATCTCTCAAGCGGAATCATAAAGCTCTCCGTGAGTTCTATAAGATGACGTTTCAAAAGCGCGGTCTGCACTTCGCCCGGCCGTTTTGTTTGAATACCCCTGAATAATTTCTTCAGTATAGTTTTGTCTTTCTGCAGGAAAGATTTGTACTGAGTGTAAACGCCAGGCTTCGAGTCTAGCACCTTCAGATTTTCAGATCTCTTGATTTTATATTTCTGATCTTCTGAAATATCAAATCTTGAACACATACCGCTAACCTTTAAACACCATAGAACTTACCGCTATTGTTGCCGTTACTTATCCGGATGATATGCGGCCAGTGTTGCAGCGTCTTTGCGAAGAATGGATTTGTCACGCCCAGGATCACAGCAGGTGGCGTCGGAGAATCAGTGGTGTACTCTTTGAATTCCGAATCGTGAATAGTAAAATACGGTCGATGATCTGCACAATACTTCAACGGCGCGATCATGCTGGAGAATGTTTTCCAGTTATGCATTATAGATATGTAACGAGTATTATCAGTTATTTTAATTGGATGCTTACGCTATAAGCGCTTGAACCATCTCGGAACATGTAGTCGGTGAGCTTGCCATCACAACGATTGGTTCACTAAGAAGTACTAATTCCCATAATAAATGCACGTAACTAACAACACTGGCTAAACTTCGAAACATATCGCCCTCGTAAGCTGATGTCAGTATCAGTCTTCGTGTTGCGTGCACGTTAGATGTGTGCTCCATGGCAGCAATCGTTGGAACAGCAGCTTTGTAATTTTGATTTGGGATATATGTCTAAAATAATTATCCTTTTAATACATAAACAACATACTTGTACAACATATTTGTACAAAGTCAATTATAAATATTTTTTTTAATTTCGTGAGTGTGTTATTAGACAAAAAGGAAGAACAAATATATATATATTATTTTTATGAATTAGATCGCAAATGTTTTGCCATCAAAATATGGACACAAATAAATTTAAATAAAGCTTGAGTCATGTATATGTCATGATCAGGCATGTGTAGAGAATGATAAAGGCATTTTAAGGGACATTTTAAATTTAATTTTTATAAACATTTTGGACATTTTTATAAAAAAAAATATCCATCTGAAACTTTTAAATAAAGTCATTATTTATTTATACTCGTACTATTACATTTGTGTCCATTATTTTAACAACAAAGCATTTGCAATCTAATGTTTATAGAAACATATGTTCTGCATTTTTTATTTATATAACTTTTAAATGTATTTACCTGGAATAATACTCCGATAAGAGGCAAATGAACTATTTGGCCTGGAACTGGAGGAGGCCAGTGATCAATCTCGCGCACCACAGCTTCCATAAGCGCTATTCCAGTCTCGAAAAATTCCGGCGCAATTAAAGCACATAATTCACCGAACAAATTAACAAATGGCAGTTTTGTAATTATAACAACACTCTAGAAGCGTGATATTAATTATAAATTAAATAAATTGCACCAAATGTATCAAATTGTTAACACACCTTTTGAAAATATCCTCTGGGCAACGATTTATCCTTTACTTGTCGGAAATATACGTATCCCCAGTAATAATCTCTATCAGTTTGTAGAAAAGAAGGTGATTTCCTGTCATATTCCTTGAGAGCATTAGTTTCTTGCATCGTTTTACTACTTTGTCTTATTCTTACATGATACTGGGTATCTCCCATACATCCAGAATTGGAATCGGGAAAGGCTAAGTAACAAACATTGGATCTCTCTTGTTCCGATAATTTAACATGACTTGGATAAATCGCCTGTCACACATAAAAAAAATATGATTAGCAAAAATATTTTATTTTATTTTGTTAACTAAATATTAAAATAATAATTCTGTAAATGTGGTCACACCTCTATAGCTTGACCCAATTCAAGATCGAAAGTAACGATGCATATACAATGCACCCAATTAGTAAAACGTTCCCATTTTCCATAGACTACTTCTTCTTTAGTAGTTTCATTGTTTAATCCTTTACTTGTTGAGCAAGAAGGAACTGACATTGTTCTCTTTTCTACTTATTCTACTAATCTAATTACTCATCTTATTACATGTGTCATTCATTATTGTACATGATTATTTTCAACTGCATGATACTTGCACTGGCACTTGACTAACAATTATGTCACATTATAATTGATCGCTTGAAGATTTTGAATTATCTAAATTCTGAAATATAAAAGCAATCTCAATATTATAAAAATCTTAAATAAATCTTTGACAAAATTCTGAAATAAATATTAACTTACCACTATAAATATATATTTGCATATTATTCAATATATGCATCAACTATTAATCTTTTCTAATTGAACTAACTCTCAAACATCCTCTATGACTATGGTTAGTCTTGAAATTATGTACCCTGTTTGGCAATATCTAAAGAAAATTTAATTTGCATACGTCCTGTACTCCAGGAGTTTAATTGAATCTTCAGTTTGTGAGGCCGAGTCAAAGGCTGATCCAGACAAGAGGCACGCTTAATACCAGAGTACATTTGCTTGTATCAATGTACTTAGACATGCACATGTTGAAACCTCCATATGTTTCCCGTCTCTGGACAACAATCTATCAAACAATATACCAGTCCAGCTCGCAGTATAATCAACGCAAGGGTGATTAAATCGTCCAAGCGAGACAGCTGTGCACCTTGACATTCGCATACATACGCGACACTCACCCTTGCCTGATCGAAGAGAGTCTTCATAGCGTTTGGATTCCAGCAACCAGATGTTTATAACCTTCGTGTAACAATCCCACGGATCAAAGAATCAGTCTCAAACTTATTATTAACACTTGCTCGATAACGTTAGACAAATTCCTTCTTGGACCCCTACTTTATTGACTTTATTTCTTTGTGATAAATTACTATCAAATCATCACATTTAATTTTAGTGGAACGCATCCTAGACTTGTCTAGACCTCGAATTGCCGCTAACTTGCCTCCAGGGCAATACAGGGACAAATCCAGGGTGTCCAATTGCTCACCAAACTGAATTATAAACTTTCCCTCTACTTTTGTAGATGGTATTACTGTACGACACACACACAAACACACACAAAGTAAATGCATATGTATAATATATGTCGTGTTGATATTTATGAACAGAACTATTACAGTTATTTAGGCATAATTCCTAAAAAATAATTTCCACAGAATCCGCAAGTTTCTCTCTGCTGCAATCTTACAAAAAGAAATATATTTGTATAAATTATTGTGAAGTATTAATATTTTTATAACCTCACATATGTGATTGACAAGCACGTGTCACATGGAAAGATGTGTATGCAAGGTATATCATTAGTATTTCTTTAAAAATTATATAACTTACATTATATTAATTATTGTGTATTTATTTTTGATAATTTAATATGTTTATTATTATGTAATTTAATATTGTAAATATATAATTTATGTATAGATAATAATGCAGAATCACATTTTGCATTGCATTTCCAGAACTATGGAATACGTTACTACTCCACAATAATGTGGTTTTATTGTTGAGATAAAATTATGGAGTTTATCACGTTAGAGCTAAGACCACGCTTGCAATCCTGCAACGTATTCATTTCTATGCGAAAAGATCTCTGCTTAAAGAATGTTCGAATTAAACTGTTGGAGAGTACCATGGTGTTAATAGTAGAAGATTATAGTATAAGCTTCTTATTGCCATCTGTTAAAATTATACCTACTTCCTTGTCCATGTTAAATATAATGAACAATTGGGTTTGCTTCCGCCTACAAACTGCACCATTAGAGTCTGCGTTTGGATCCTTCAGTACAGAAGTGATGACTAATTTGAATAAATTAGTTCAATCAAATACTCATTCGCAGTCTATTGTAAATGATATCAAATTGTTATTTGAAACATCAAAATGTACTATATTATGCACCTGTTGCAAAAATGTTATCTCTAAGTTAATTAGCTTTAAGAGGTTTCTTCCTTTACCCGATGCAGAATACGATCCTGACGAGTGGTTTTGTTGTAAACACAGTTGCAACTCTGTCTCAAATAGTGTGCAGCCACAGGAATCTGATTACTTATATGGCTCTTGCTTTTCTGTATTACATAAAAGTATTTTTGCAAGCAATGTATGTACAGATAATAAAACATTGTCTTGTAATAAATGTTTGTTACACATAGGAACATTTCATGCATATAATTTATTCAAGATATGGAACTGTTGTGTAGATTATAAACCAGAAAATAGTACATTATCTATTACAAATGCTACTAATCCACTTAATGATTTTCTAATATTAATAAAAACCTCGCTAAGCGAGATTTTAGGTGAAGAAATTGTTCTACAAACATCTATCGGCAAACAGACGCATCGTCTTTTGATAAAGCCAATGGATTGCAAATTAAATTTAATTACAGAGCCTGATCATGTTACAGTCTGTGATACTGACACTATATCCTTACAACAAAAATATGCTGCCAAAGTTTTATACAAATACGAGAAAAATAAAGAGTTTACTATAATCACTAATTATTTGAATGTTAAATATCATGATGTAGGTTTGCCTTTAATAGAAGCTGGATTAAATTATTTGTTATCATCAACAAAACGACTACCTCATGTTTATAGAACTGCTGCTATAGACTATTTTCTTGGCTATATTATCTTGTAAGAAATCGCGAATTAATGTCATATAATTTATTGTCCAACGATATTAATTTTTAAACATTACATATATTTTGTACATCTATTTTTATATACAATAAAAAGAAATAATTGTTTACTGTAACATATTCCTCCTCATAAATACTATGTAATACAATAACTCATTAGACGAACATTTAAATAACTCATAAATTTTTTAATATATCGGAAAGGGATACATTTAATTTCTTTGTTTCTAGAAGATATGATAAGAATGTCTTTTATTTAAAAAAAACCTATTCCAACACTATTAACTTTTCTCCGAATGTTATGTTATTTGTAAAACTAGTATATGGAAAAACTACGGCAATCACAAAAATAAAATACTAAGTATCATTGTGATATTTCGTTTTGTGCATGGGAAATGCATAAATTTATTTCCGAAGTCTATAATTTTGGAATGTCAGTCCATTCCTTACATGTTGGAAATCTATTTATATTTGCCAATAACAAATTCGAGAAGAAGAGGTTGCGCAAAAATAATTAATTCTATAATCTTAGAATATCATATTATTTACGTCCACTAGTGACATCGTAAAACTTTTGTATACAATATGGCATGCAATCTATACAATATGATGTATACAGGTTTGCGTAAATTGTACATATAATTTCTTTTCTCATAAGAAATTATAATGTTAATAAATGTTATGTATATATAAAAGACTTCACATACGTACACATATTTGAAAGGTGGATATAAATTGAAACTTACGATATCTGTGTGAAATTACTCCAAGGATAAAAAAAAAGAAGAAGATAGATATAATTATATCATAAAAATTCATATTCTATTATTGACAAACGTTTTTATTAAACGAAACTTAGAATAGTAGATGAAAAGTAAAATAGATAATATTGCATTATCTCTTTCCTACATTAAGATTGGCTAATACGCATAAAAATATTTGCCAAAATCGCTTGAATGTGAAAGTGTATGTCTTCTGAATTAAGCCTGATGTTATAATTCTTACAGGCAGTAGGCCACGATTTTTCCTCTAGTATTGTGCTGCATCTAAAATTGTCACGTAATACGCACGTATACATAGTTAGGTAACATTCGATTGATCGTTAGAACTGTGTATTCTGTCTATAAGAGGTCTTATGTACACCCAGCCACCATCTTTGGTTTCCTTAAAAAGCTGTTCAACAAAAAAAATGGTTGGTAATAATTATACAATAGATGAAAAAAATCAAATAAAAATCGTCCACTTACTTTCGTTTGCCACGCTATATTATTCTCCTTTCGAAGCCGCGCTTCTTCTCGTTGTTTTTGCTCAATTGTGCATTTTGCCGCTGTAGCTTTATCCATATCGTTGATACGTAGGCCAACTGTCACGTCACGCCATACTCTTCGCGATTCAGATTCATCTTGCTCACATACTGTTTTAACTAATTTTCTTTCTGTGCTAAGTTCTCTCACGTCAGCGAACATTTCACTTTTCTGTTAAAAAAAAAAAGAATATTACAAAATATTAAAAATGTAAATTAGAATTAAAGAAAGAAACAAGAATTAAGAATAAATCAAATAAGAGAAAAAATACTATTTTAAAAGCGGTGCTTATATATAATATTCATATGTCAGGACTGGAGGCACATACTTGAAATACTTTTATGTAAAACACAATACTTTCAATATAAGTTTTTGTATTTTGTATCTCAATGGAACACATAAAAAGTATTTTGTATTTAAAATTGAAAGATTGAAAATTTTTTTGTATATTTTGTAATTCAAACAATAAGATTGACTGTCTTAGTATTTAAAATATAAAATACAATTTTACAAATATTGTTCTTTAAATAAAAGTATTTTAAATACATGCCTACCCAGCCCTGCCATGTAAATTTGCAAATATACTTTAATTTATTGTTTTAACAATAATTAAATTTACATCCATGAATGATTATATAATGTATACTAATATTTGTTATTCACAGTAGCTTACTATGTAGGACGTGCAAATAGTTACAGTTCTACTGTAGCATTTAACAATAAATATTAATATTACATTAAAATTCTAACGTTTTAACTTACACCATCCAATGTCTTCACTTCCATTGCTCCACTCCATTCTCCATTTATAACAAGAAACGGCTTTTTATCTCCCGCTTGGAAAGCTTGACACGTAATTCGATTCCGTTTACCGCCGTAAAAAGGTTTCGTTATAAATTCTACAGTTGCATGATAACCAGTTTGTACACAATTTATTGTTACAGTTCCTCCTAGTTCTATCCATGGTACAGTGAGAATAGATCTGCCATAACCATTAGGGAAAGTTAAAACGTACTCCTCCCCGTATTGTAACACATTTACCCAACCCTTTCCTACGTTGTGCACTCCTATACTTAAACCCAGGAATTTGCTCTTCGTCCAAACATGAGCTCCGAAACAGATCTTTTTTCCAACATGCTCGGCGTAAAATGCACTAACTGCAATCAAACAATATAATAAATAGATGAGCTATAATACAAGTTCAATAAAGACAGTTCAATAAAACGCTTAAATGAAAAAAAAAAAGATTCCCATACCTGGTGGATGGTGAGAAACTTGTTCAGCCACAAAAGCAAGTTGATTCTCTCTACACCATGGTACAGGACCATCTGATACTAGTTTACTACCAGACTCTGCAGCGTTATCAAAAGAATTAACATTAGGTATGTTCCAATGACACCGAAAAATTTCACCTAATACAGGATTGTATGGCTTCTTAGCCACGCCAGATTTACGTCCTGCATGAAAACTGCACAAGTACCAACGTATTACTTGCACCATCCTCTCCCGAGGTGTAGGCATATCTGCAATGCTAATTCAGGAAAATGGAATTATTTTCAAAAACTTATTACAAAATGTTAAAACAGACAATGCGACAATGTTAGGTCTGTTCTGTTTAACTAAACTTTTTGTCTAGTTCATCTTTTCTCTTTTTCTCTCCAACGTAAAGAGAAAAATGAAAAAGATGAATTGTGCAAAAGGTTGAACTAAAAAACTGATCTATTATGTATATACATATTAAAATTTTATTAAATTGAATAATTAAAACTACCTTACAAATTGATCGGGATGAGCAAAGTAATCTGCATACATCTCAAGGAGTGACCTGCGTTCTAAGATAAATGTTGGTAAAGCAACTCTCGTCAAGTCCATACCAATCTTCACCTGGGACAGAAGATGAGCCACGACTGAGCCGTGACTCTCCATGGAATCCACTGTAGACGATAAAAGTAAAAAAAGAAATATCAATAAGCAGAATTACTTTCTACAACACAGTATGCTTGATGTGACATATTACGTACTTTCTGTTTCGCTTTCTTCTTCGTAGAGAGCTGCAACAGATATAAATTCACAGTTTAAAGTATGAAAAATACTTTAAGAAATGCA